GATCCGGGAAACTCGAGATCCGTCAACGCCGACAGATCCTTCGGATTCGCCTCCAGTCCGTCGTGCGACACCTTGTGACCGAGATATTCCACCTTGGGCATGCCATGCCCCAGAAACTCTTGACAACGCTGATCGACAAGTTCCATTTGTCGCACGCCTCCAGCAGATCTTCGACTCGGTCGCATAGCTGATCCCAATTATCTGCTGGCACTAAGATGTCGTCGATGTAGGATCTACCGATGGCTTGCCCGGATCCTCGGGTTCTCCGCGGGTTCTCCAGCCTCGAATACATCCAAATGCTCCAGATCGCCTGCCATTTTCGGGATCCGAGTGAACCCATACAGGGCATTGTCGATCATCCGCTGGTAGATCTGCGGCGCATTCTTCAGCCCAAAAGGCATCCGGTTCCACTCGAAGAGTCCAAATGGGGTGATAAAGGCCGAGATCAGGCGGGCCCGATCCGTCATCTTCACCACCCAGAATCCGCTCGCCATATCCAGTGAGCAGTACCATAATGTCGACTCGAGATCCCACAGTAGATCGTTGATCAGCGGCATCGGATAAACCATCAGCTGTGTGAGACTGTTAACCAACCGATAATCAATGCACAATCGTATATCCACGCTATTCTTCTTGATGATCACCACGATCGGCGACGCTCTTGAGTGGTTGATCATCTTGGCCGACAGGAGACCCTTGATCAACTCTGCCAATTTCTCTCGGAACTGGATCCGCAGCTTTCGGCACTTGAGCGCGATCGGCCGAGCTCCTCCCACATCAATATCACACACAACCCCTCGGGCCGCTGGTGGGAGCGCATTTCCTTTGCCGATCAGGAGATGTCTAAACTTCCAGATCCGCTGGCGGAGTCGGTCGATCTCTTCGGGCGTCTGATCGTCGGATCCACACAACTGGATATCTTCAATCTTCACGTCCTTCGTCGTCGCTGGCACGTCGGGCAGTACCGCCAGTTATCCGTCGACACCTTCCGCGTAGAGATCGCTGCCTTCGTGGTAATACACACATTCATCG